AGGAGCGGGCTGGTAGCGAGAGGCTGGGCTGGGCTGCGGACAATCAACTGCAGAGGGTGGGAGACAGGGAGCAAGGGAGTTCAAGTCACAGAGCTGCATGGAGCCCTTGGCTGACAGGCTGGCCTCCGCCGCCGCCCGGGGCCGCGTGAAGGAGGTGCAGGCGTTGCTCCAGGAGGGGGCACCGCCCAATGCGCCCAACATTCACGGTCGGAGCCCCATTCAGGTGGGTGAGCAGCTTTGCCGCGGGAGGAGGGGTGGCGGGCGGCTTTGGGGGACCAGGTTTCCAAAGGGATCGGAATCAGGCAAGCATTTCGATTCTCCGTAAAGGGGTGTCATGGGGGGGGGAGGTTAGATGGCGTGTGGCGTCGGAGACTTCTCTTGGCAAAGCCCTGGGGGCTCACGAGGCCAAGGGGGAAATGAGGAAGCATAGAGGAGCAGATCTCTAGAGCGGTGTGAAGATCTGGGAGAGAGAACCTATGTGTGTTAATATAGACCGAGTTACATTCTTTATCAGATACAAAATTAACGAACGCGTGATGTAAAACACAAGATTTTATAGATTTGCTGGACTCACCTAGGTCTAAACTCAAAGGCTTGGAATGGAACTGATGATCCTCTTATCCCCTAGGGGGAAATTTCAGTGGAAATCTACAGCTGTGTATGTTGGAATAAATATCAATTGAAATTATTCAGAAGCAACTACATAATGTGTTTATTTTTCATTTTAACTGAATAAGGAAAATATATGCCTGTAAGAATTTAGGAAAGGCAGACATATATAAAGCAAAACATTAGCGTAACCTCGCCAGAAATAGTCATTTTAGTTACCATTTTAGTGGTCTCTCCTATTATTGTTATCATTAACTTACTTGCTATAGATTAACGTATTTGAAATAGAGTTTTCAATTCCTCATTGTTGAGAAATGTCATTTCTCCTCTCCCCACTCCAGTATTTTTTTGGCGGGGGTGGGGCGGTTCAGGTTTTGTTCATTGCCTTCACTAACTTTCTAAATCTCAGGCTAAAAACAATTTAATCCTGGCAGTCATTAGCCTAGATTCATTCCAAGTGTCGACAATGATTTTGATTCTGAAAAATAAAATTTATATGAAGTAAATGCATATTGCAAAAACTCCAGCATAACAAGACAAAGGAAAGTAGCTCTACGTGGAACTTCACAAACTTCAAAAGTAAATTTCCCTTTCCCTTCCCTTACATTTACATATGTAAATATGTAAATACAAATTTACATATGTATCCTATGTAAACATAGTTTACAGAGGATAATGTTCATACACTTTAAAATACAGATATAAAAATAAAGTGAAAGTGCCTTAAAACTTGAGATTATTTGGGATTTAAAGTGTGGAGAGAATTTGAGACTGGAGAGGTTAAGTGGTTGTAGATGAAAAGCATGAGTCCTTTAAAAAGAATGCATGCATGATTCATAATTTGATATCTCTAAAAATATCACCACCAGCTTGAAAACTGAGAGTTTGGGTTTGGGGGTCTCAGAATATGTTAGAAGAGACCTTGTTTGTTTGAATACAAAGAGAAAAACGGATGTTGGATAACTAGTTTTAACTTCTTTTAATAGGGAGCAAAAGAACATAGAGAAAAGGAGGCATGATTTTGGTGTAGAACTCTAATCAACTTTATGTTTAATAGAAAAATATAGAAAAATTCAAATTACTAAATTAAATTTAATGTATTATCAAATGGATTTAAGCACCCTACAAATATTCGTTTACTTGGTTTATTTATTTATTTTTTACTTCTGACTGCTATTATGGTTTAAATATTTAAATGTTAGGTTACTGTCTAGCCTTTAATACTAATATAACAAAATATAATAAAAATGTTTAAAACCAGTTAAATGATTAAGGAACTCATTGGATAAACATAGTTAGTATGAAAGCTTTCCCAGTTTTTATTTTAAAAACAGTGCATTGTTCTAATGCACTGCAATAGTTTTTCTTTCTTTTTGGAATTGTAATTTGGTTCACTTATATTTTCTCTGTCTTTTTGAAAATTAAATCATTTTCACTTTGTCCAGGACAATATAACTTATTATGGCTGCTTGGTTTGGACAAATTAATTCGTGTTTAATACAGAATTTAACTAAAATAAGTAATTCCTTTTTATACAGTCACTATTGTCCAGTCAATATAACCAAATAATGCTTACCCCCCAAAAAAGAATTGTCTACCACCAACACTCAAATTGTAAGACACTTTGATTGTGGACACTTTGGTAGTGGCTTTATTTCAAAGATGATTAGGACCCAAATGAGGACAGCACCTCCTGTTTAATGAACTTTCAGACTATAAACTGGGGAAATGTCTTAGTTTCCTGTTTCTGGCATAACAAATTACCAATGATTTAGTGACTTAAACCAACATAAATGTATTATATGACAGTTCTGACGATCAGAAGTCTAAAATGGAGTCGCAGGGCTGCACTTCTTTTGCAAGTTCTAAAGGACAATCCATTTACTTGCCTTCCCCAGCTTCTAGTCACCATCAACATTCCTTGGCTCATGACCCCTGAATCTTCTCTCTAACCTCTGCTTTCATTCTTATACTCTGTTGACTATGAATCTCTTATAAGGAAACTTGTAATTACAATGGGCCTACTCTGACAATTCAAGTTAATCTCCCTCGTATTCCTTAATTTAATCAGGTTTAGTCCCTTTGGCCATGTAAGGTAACATGTCCACAGCTTTCCAGTGTTAGGAAGTGGACATCTTTGGGGGGCATTATTTTGCTTGCCACAGGAAAAAAATATTAGGGCTGGTTAGACAAACCTCATTTTATACTTAAAGAATTTGAAGTTTAATATTCTGGGAATCTAAAGGTAGCTTAAAGTTTCGCAAGAATTTTTGTTTGTTTTGCAAGGTTTTTGTTTGCTTGTTTTTCTTTTTAACAATTACCACGTTCTGGGTTTGGATATACATCACTAATCCATACAAAATCTCTGGGTTTTACATAACTTCATATCAAAACGAGGGGGGCTATACAATAGGTTAGGCTGTAGTAAAAGCAAGTTTGTCCCTCACTCTGGCTGTTGTCTGTGCCTTTAGCAATGTTCTATGTGTGGCTGAAACTCCATAAAAGGTTGGAGAATATAATGGGAATTCAGTGTGTGCAGAAAAGTAGAATGGCTAAGAGAGTTGGTAACTTAAAGTAAATAAAGAGTAGCTAGACCTCTCTTTATTTGTGGTTTGCACAGGTGTCTGCACCCGAGAACAGCTTTACAAATAGTTTCTTTAAATTATCTAATCCTGTTCCTGCTGCCTGCCCTCGCCCTGACCGCTCTGCTCTCTCCCGCAGGTCATGATGATGGGCAGCACCCGAGTGGCCGAGCTGCTGCTGCTCCACGGCGCGGACCCCAACTGCGCAGACCCCGCCACCCTCACCCGCCCGGTGCATGATGCCGCCCGGGAAGGCTTCCTGGACACGCTGGCGGTGCTGCACCGAGCCGGGGCGCGGCTGGATGTGCGCGATGCCTGGGGCCGCCTGCCAGTGGACCTGGCTGAGGAGCGGGGCCACCGCGATGTTGCCCAGTACCTGCGCATGGCCGCAGGGGGCACCGAAAGCGGTAGCCACGCCCGTACAGACGTCTAAGGTGAGGTGGCCAATGTAAGAATATGAACTCAGAGAGCTTCTTCAGCCCAGGACATTCCTTTTGCAGAAGAGTAAAATCGCCCCAGGAGAGCAGAATCTTGTGTCTTGCCTCGCTCAGCTCATACGCTGCCTGCCGGTGGGACAACCCCAGTATCCAGATCGCGCTGCCTCTCCAGGGCTGTGGACGGGAAACAGCCTGAGATAGACTTCCTCACATCAAAGCCCACCCCATAAACCCTGCTCCCCACCCCCTAAACACTCAGCCTCACCACAGCTCAAGGCCTATCCTGGAGCATTGAAGACTTGAGGCTAGAGGTCTAGTGGCCCCTCTCCCTCCAAACTAGCTGGCCAGCCGCATCCATTCAACGACCCTTAGTTTCCCTGTTAGCTTACCTAGATTGCTGGACCAACCCTGCGATTTCCAAAACCAGTTGCACATGGCATCACCTGGCAGAGAACTGTCATTCCTAGCTCTATTGCAAATGTCTACTAAACCCGCCCCTCCGCTCTATGTGGCGGGGGTTTCCAGAGCTCCCCCAAGGGGTTCTGAGGGCATCTGGGATGGAGACTTCATCCACCCTCGCAGTCTGCGCCCCGGAATTCACTGCACGTTCTGGGAAACAGAGAGCCTTTCTTAAGCTTTTCGCTCTCTTAAGCGTTCGGTTTCTTCGGAGAGACCGCTTCAGGAGGGAGACGGATATGTGGTTCTTCTTGCCTTCTACTACCACGAAGCTCTCTTTTCCCTCGGCCCCACTTCCCCACCTCCACTCCGCCTGCCTAAAGTACCAAGTTTACTCTGATTTTTTTCTGGAGGAACCATTTTATTAAAATATATAAATAAAGCAATATACGAAATGAATACGAATATTTAAGGTAAACCATGACTTCGAAGATAATGAAATCTATTTTTGGGCTCAGAGTTGGGGCACTAGGTTCCCTGGGACTTAGGAGAGCCTAGGAGGACATAGTGGAGAGTTTCGCTCTGAGTCCTCCGCTGGGAGTACACTGAGCGCTACGCCTGGGATGTGAGGGAAACGACGATCTCCTTTAGCTTGCCTACCATCTCGCTCTTCCAATTGAAGCTTGCTTCCGTGGACGCGGCGTAGGACGAGGGACCAACCACAGGGCTGTGAACAGAATTAGATGATTGAATTGGGCCCCAGGCGAATGAATAAACTGAGTAACCCTTCATAACCAAACCTAAGATGTGTAACCCAAGCACACTCCTTCCCTTCCTCCCTCCCTCCCTCCCTCTTCCCTTTAAGATCCTACTACGTGATCAGCTCCTTTCTAGGTGGGACAGAAAACTGAACGACACAAAACAGGAGTCCTGCCCTCATAGAGCTTACATTCTGGGAAATAGACTTTAAGCGTTATAACAATGTATTTTCGGAGAGTGAGTTTGTAAACACCAATGTGATGGGTAAGCGTGAAGTGTGAATAGGAGGGGAGGCTAGCTTAGAGTGGCCCGAGAACCTGGCTGACGAGAAGAGATTAGCCATTGCAAGCAAGGAAACTCTCAAGTGCAAAGACTGCGGAGGAAATGAACGTGGCGGGTTGAGAGGGTGAAAAAGGCGGGCTGGAGCGTGTACACGGCGAGATCAGAGAGGAGGGCAGAGGCCAGATAATTGTAGGGACGTCTAGGTCAAAGAAAGGGTGTTCGGTCAAAATGTGGATTTTATTCTAGAAACGGTAGGAAGCCATCAGCTGGTCTGAGAGAGGAGGCCTGGGGCGGAAGACAATGGTATTGGAACCGAAGATGCCCATACTGCCGAGCCGCGGCTAATCGGGTGTCCTCTGATTATGTTAGTTCTCTGAGTCGCTCGCCAGCCTCGGTTAAAAGAAATGCTTGGGCCTCGCGAAGGGCGAGGCGACGTCTTCATGTCCCCGCTCCTGGCGTTGTGTGTGGCACCGGTTATGTACCGCTTTTCTTCTCGCAACCCGGGTGGGCTACGCGGCTTGCAGGGTCTAGCTCTCCCTGCCCCCAACCCCGCGGGCCCGGAGCGCGGGAGCCTCCGGCGAGCCCGGAGCCGCTAGCCAGGCAGTGGAAGCGCTGTGAGATCAGGGAAGCTCGGGAGTGCGGAGGCTGCTGGCAGGGTCCCGACCAGATGGACGGACAGACCTTGCTTGGGCTGAGGATCGCTGGGTAGTGAGAGGAAGTGTGCGTGCAGGCGAAGCCATGCGAGAACCTTGTACATAAGTGTTTGGAGGACTGCAAAAAAGGAGTCAGGAATAGGTTTCACATCTTTGATTTCTGATTTCTAATGTCTTTTTTCTTTCTTCCATTTGCAGACAACCCAGTCTTAGAAGGTCATGGAGAACCGGAGACCGTTTCTTCATCATGATCTTCTTTCCCTTTATCCTAAATTTTCATATAAAAGATTAAAGGGGAAAAAAAAGTAACCCTGTTCCTGCCTTTTCATTTGGTTGGTATTTTCAGGAGCGAATACTCCGACTCTGAGAGCACGCGTATGCGGGCACTTTCTCTTGCCAGCCTCGCACCTGCCGGCGCTGTTATTTTTACAGACATTTTGTGAACCAGGAAAACAAAGCTTAAATGGGGCAGGTGGTGTTTCTTGTCAAACCACCAGTAAATGTCAGCGCCAAGGCTCATGTTTTTGTTTTTTGTTTGTTTGTTTTTAATAATGTTCTTTCCTTCGCTCATTGGGTCAACATTTATTGAGCACCTATTATGGCACCGTGCCAGGGCACAGTGAGGTGAGACAGACATGAACTATTAAACACACAAACACATGACTAGAAATTTTATGCACTTTCATAGAGTGGAAGACAGCGTTGTTTCTAAAACCCGCGGTTGTTTCGCGTACCTCTTAAAATGAAAACTGCAGCGTGAGAGTACACACCGTGGAATGTAAGGCACATCCGGATCTCAGATGATAAAATGTCAAAAGGTGGTTTTTAGGATTGATGAAATGGGGTAAAAGGTGATGAATGGGAACTTTTCATTAATCTGAAGGGAAACCTCAGATTGTCAGACTCTCTCCCTCCTGGCCTTCCGTTACTTACCCTGCTCCGCGATCCAAGCCCTCGGAAGTTTAAGTATTTTATCCAAGGCATCACAGCTAGCAGCAGGTGGCCCAGGACCGCAGAGCTTCCCTCTGCAGGCCCCTTGGGGCCTGCATGAACTGGCCCCCTTTGCCCAGCCCAGCGTTCTGGGACCCACCAGCAGCGGCTCTAGCGGGCTTCGAAGTGGCTGCTGACCGCCACCCAAACCAAAAGCAGCTGGGCGCTTCTCTGCCAGAGCAGGGACTGGCTCCAACTTCAACTGGGCTGTAAAGGCCAGGCAGCCTCCTCCCAGGCCAGGGCACCACACCTCCGTTTACTTAGATATTTTTTATTGAGGTGCAATTCACGTAACATAAAATTAATTATTTTAAAGTGCAATTCAGTGGTATTTAGTACACTCACAATGTTGTGCAAACATCACCATTTATCTAGTCCCAAAACACTTTCATCGCCTTCAAAGAAGACCCCATATTCATTAAGCATACTCAAATCCTCCCTATCCCCAGGCTCTGGCAACCACTAATTTCCTTTTGTCTCCACGGATTTCCCTATTCTGGACACATTGTATGATTCCACATATGAAGTGTCTAGGATTTCATATAATTCCACTTATATAAAATCTCCAGAATATATGTCTGTCTTTATGTCAATTTCACAGTTTTGATTACTGTAGCTTTGTAGTATATTTTGAAATTGGGAAGTGTGAGTACTCCAACTTTTTTCTTTTACAAAATTATTTTGATTGGTTTCGACCTTGTATCTGGGGTTGCAATTCCATATAAATTGTAGCACCAACTTTTCTTATTTCTACAAAACAAACCCAAAAAAGCCTTTGAGCTTTTCATAGGGATTGCACTGGATATGTAGATCACTTTGGGTACTATTGCTATCTTGATAATATTAAGTCTTCTAAACCATGAACATAGGATGTCGTTCAATTCATTTAGGTCTTTAATTCCAGCAGTGTTTTGTAGTTTTCAGTGTACAAGTATGACAACTACTTGGTTAAATTTATTCCTAAGTATTTTATCCTTTTTGATGCTATTGAAAATTGCTCTTCCTTTTTGGATTGTTTATTGCTAGTGTATAGAAATACAACTGATTTTCATGTGTTTATCTTTTATCCTGCACCTTCACTGAATTTATTTATTAGCCCTACTAGAGGTAGGGGTGTGTGTGTGTGTGTGTGTGTGTGTGTGTGTGTGTGTGTGTGTGTGTGTTTTAGGATTTTCTATATGTAAAATCATGTCATCTGCAAAGAGGGATAGTTTTACTCATTCCTTTCCAGTTTGAATGCCTCTTATTTCATTTTCTTGCCTAACTTCTGGTTAGAACTTTCAGGACAATGTTGCTTATAAAATTTTGAATAGAAGCAAAAGCTGACATTCTTGTTTTGTTTCTGATCTTAGTGGGAAATCTTTGAGTCTTTCACCATTGAATATATGTTAGCTGTAATTTTTCCCCCCATACATGCTCTTAATCAGATTAAGGAAGTTCTCTTCTATTCCTAGTTTATTGAATAATTTTACCATCACAGAGTGTTAGGTTTTGTCAAATTATTTTACTGCATGAGTTAAGATGATCATGTTTTTTTCTTCATTCTATTAATATGTCATATTACATTGGTTGATTTCCATATGTCGAACTGCTGGCATTCGTAGGATAAATCTCACTTGGTCATGGTGTGTATCCTTTTAACATTCTGCTGGATTGAGTTTGCAAATATTTTGTTAAATATTTTTTGCATCTTTATTCATAGGAGATATTGGTCTGTAGTTTACTTTTCCTGTGATATCTTCATATGGTTTCAGCATCCGGGTAATGTTGACCCCATTGAATGAGTTAGGAAGTGTTCACTTCTCTATTTCTTGGAAGAGTCTGAAAAGAGCTGGTATTAATTGTTTTTTTAAACTTTTGTTACAGTTTACTAGAGAAGCCATCTGGTCCTGGGCTATTCTTTGGGGGAGGGTTGACTAGTGATTCAATCTCTTTACTTGTTATAAGTCTTCAGGTTTTCTCTTTCATTTTCTTGAGTCAGTTTTGGTAGTTTGTGTGTTTCTAGGAATTTGTCCATTTCTTCTAGGTTACCTAATTTGTTGGTATATATTGTTTATAGTTTTCTCTTATAATCCTTTTTATCTCCTTAAGATTGCTGGTAATGTCCCCATTATACTGCGTTTAAGTAATCTTTTCCTTGATTGAACGTTTGCTTGGTTGCTGTAAACCTTTGACTATTTTCCAGAGTTCCCACAAAGTCAATTCTGACGTTATCTTTTTGGTGTTTCTGTGTAGTGACGGTTTGGATCTTCCCACTCTGTCATTTTCACTGACGTTAATTCTATTTTTTGTTTTGTTTCGTTTTAGAGCAATGACAAAATAAATGTCTTTGATATGCCAAGTTTCTTTCTCCCTACAACCTCTATGACTGGGACTTAGTGCCCCTCACCCTGCCTTCCCACTCTGGGTATCTGTCCGCACCATTTCTCTGAACCTCTTTAGCTCTAACACTCAACTACCGTCCTCCAAATTTTCTCCACTGTCTCTCCTCCTCCTCCTGCCTTCCCTCCTCACTGTAGGAACTGGCTCTTCTTTCCGCAACGCCTCTCCTAGCGTAGGCGCGCGCGCGCGCGCACACACACACACACACACACACACACACACACACACACACACACACACCGCCTTCTATTTAGGAGATTCCTCAGTCGCAGTCGCTCCTCTACCCCTTGCGAGCAGGCCCCGCTAGGATGTGGGTGCCTCAGCTAGAGGACAGGCAGGCAGGTGCTATTTTAAGGCCCCGAAGGCCTCCGGCGTGACACAGTGTCTTCAGGAACAAACTCGCAGGCTCTCCGCTGCGCCGGTCCCGAGCACGCGCATGCGCACGCGGGGCCCAGCGGGCCGCGCGGGGAGACCTGTCAGTGAACCGCGCAACTGGGCACCTGTCTCACAAGCGTGGGCTCAAAAAGTCCGACTGCTTTGTCAGGTTAAAAAAGAAAAAACAGAGAAGAAAAGGGAGAGGAAGGGAAAGAGAAAGAGGACAAAGGGAGGAGGTTGAAGTCTGTTGAAGGCCCTAAGGTTGGAGAGAAGCTGCCGGAGCTTTCCCACGATGACGGCTGAAACTTTCGGAACCAACACGCCGAGAAGCATAAAACAGGCACTGCTGAATTAAACATTTTCAGCTTCAGTGGGGTACCTGGGAGCCCGCGGGCTGGGAGAACAGTCCTGAACGGGAACTGGCTGTGGTCGCCGGGTCCCCTCGTATCACGGGGGTGGCCCGCAGGAAGGGCTTCCTGCACTTCCTCCCAGATCTCACATAACCTGTTTTAAGCAATAACGTTCAAGTAATAAGCAAGAGAGAGAATCTGCAGCATGGCCTCTTTTCTAACTTCTGGGGATTGTCAGAATCCTTGGCATTCCTTGGCTTAGAGATGCCTCACTCCAACCTCTGACTCCATCACCAGCATGGCATTGGCATTATCCTCTGGGCCTCTCTATGTTGTCAAACCTCTCTCTCCTTTCTCTTATAAGGAAACTGGTCATTAGATTTAGGGCCCACTGTAAATCCAGAATAATCTCATGATGAAATCCTTAATTTAATTACATCTGCAAAGACCCTATTTCCAAATAAATTCACATCCATAAGTATTGAGGGCTTGGACTTGGACATATCTTTTTTGGGAGATGCTATTTAACTTACTACACTCCCTAATTCATTGCTTTCTCCGCCCCTAGATCCTAAAGAAGAAAAAAGTCATAGAGGGATAAATTTTTTAGAGATAGGCCCAAAGCCAAAAGCTCTTGCAAGATCAGTCTAAGACATCCAGACTCTCTGGTGAATAAAATTGGACCTCTGACTGGATGTGAATTTTTAGAGTAAGCCAAAGAGAATAAGGATTCAACTTTTGTGGCCATCAGGAAAAATCTGGACAAGATTTCTCTCCCATAAGCTGGGTTGAGGACATTAACAGCAATGATTCTCAATAGGATCAGGTGGGTTAAGGAAGATAAATTTGCACACAGGATTAAGTCTGACTGGGGAAAAGAAGAAAAGTGGACTAGAGGGCGGTCCGAGTGGCGCATTGGTTAAGTGCTGGCTTGGGATGCCAGAGGGCCACGGTTCGGATCCCATATATGAGGGCCAGTGACACTGCCCTCTACAGCTAAGATGCTGAACAACAGCTCAACTTGGAGCTGGGCTGCCATGAGTCGCCCAGGACAGCTTTGGCTGCAACCCCTGCTGCAGTAGGTTGCCATGGGCTACCGTGTGTAGCCAGCAGCCAGCGTGAACGGCCAGCAGCCACCGTGAGTGGCTGTCCAGAAGCCGGCGACTGATCTGCCTCGCCTGGGAAGAGCAC